GTGTTCAACATCCTTAGTTATTCTGGAAATGAAAATTAAAATCACTTTAAGATCTCATCTTACCCCAGTCAGACTGGCTACGATCAAGAGAAAAATGATACCATATGTTAGATAGGATGTGGGGAAAGGGGAATGCTCATACTTGTACATCCATGTTTGTTGCTGCTCTTTTCACAATAGGTAAGAGATGGAAGCAACATAAGTGTCCCTCAACTGGCAAGGGGATAATGAAAATGTGGTACATTTATACAATGGAGTTCTACTCAGTGGTAAAGAAAGACAAAATCATGAAATTTGCAGATAAATGAATGGAACTAGAAACTCTTATAGTAACTGAAGTAACACTCAGAAAAACAAGTGACATATGTTCTCCCTCATTTGTGGATCTTAGCACCAAATCCTTATATGTGAGTATATACACTGATATAACTGTAGGAGCCAGGAAAATCGAAAGTAACCAGGGAGGTAAAGGGAAAGAAAGAGCTTGAGAGAGGGACAGTAGGAGACAGGTGCGACCAAGGACAAAATGATGTTTGAGTCTGTGAAGAGTGAATATATGCAGTCAATTAACAAATTAAAGGATACGAAACAGGTCGTGAAAAAGACTTAAGAGTCCTAATTAGTGAAATAAATGGAGACCTACCAGCAGATTTTGAGAAACAGCATAAAGACATTGTTAAAGTGAAGGTATATGACGTTCACTTTGAGATTGCATGAGTGTTTTAAAAGCTGAAATTTATTCTCTTATATGAAGTATGCCTTGCTTCGTGAGATAGGTAAAGATAATGTAGCTGTATTAGTCACTTTTCTGTTGCTGTGATAGAAATACTGACCCAAGCAATTTATAGAAGGAAGGGTTTATTTGAGCTTACGGTTCCAGGGGAATTACAGTCCGTCTTGGCGGGGAGGCATGGGGGCAGAGGTAGCTGGAGGAGGAGCAGCACAAACTAAGCTCTACATCTTCCAGCAGGCACAGGAAACAAGAGAACGACTGGAGATCCCTCTCTAAGCCCACCCCCAGTGATGCACTTCCTCCAAGATAGCCGCACCTTCTGACACCGCCCAAAACAGTACCAGCATCTGGGTTGTTAAACGTCCAATCCAAATACTTGGAGCCTATGGGGGACATTTTCATTCAAACCACCACATGAGTTGTTGGCCAGGGTGGACCGATAGACTCCTAAAATTGCACAGGTTATTGCCACAGCCCTTGACTGCCTCTCAGAACTCGAAGGTAAGAGAAGACCCTACTGATGAAGAGAAGACATACTTTGGACACAGGACTTGGAGCAATGGAGCTGGAACTCAGCTGGAAGCCAGCTCCCTGAAGGCAGCTCTCATAGCTTTGGAACCACTCTGTAAGCTGCTAAGGGAGAGCATCAATTGATGGGCCAACCCCAGCTTCAAGGCCTAAAGTCATAGCAGTGACCGGCACAATAAACTACATTTGGGCAGTTGTAGCACTTTTAGCTTGGAGGTAATCAAAAGCTACCTAATTGGACTTAAAGCCTGCTTAATGAAGGGAAAGTTATGGATCCTTACATTTACAAACATGCATACCAGTCACCACTCATATAAGCAGCTCCTTTTGCAACAGATGGAGACTATTACAGAGGTCCACAATTGGTCAAATACAGAGAATATGTGTCTTCGAGATTCCCAATCCTAAGTGACACATCTACAATGGAACCTGTTCCATGAGGTGGGCTTGGGCTATTGAAAGGTAGCATGGCATGAGAGACAAAGCCAGAAAGCCGTGTTCCTCCCTGGTCTCTGCTTCAGCTCCTGCCTCAAGGAGGATTCTTCTTTGCGTTGGCTTTCTTGATGATGGACTGTGAACTGTAAGCCATATAAATCCTTTCCTTCCCCAAGCTGGTTTCGGTCAAGGTGTTATCATGGCAACAGAAACCAAATCGCAGCACTGTAAGCCCAATGACTGAGTTTGAGGAAAGACCCTTCCCAACATGTTTTCAAAGCCCATCATCACTCAGGTACTGCTGCGTTTCACATACTCATGGAGTAGTTAGTAGGCTACTGTGTTGGACAAGGGGTTGTAATAAATCTGGACATCTCAAAGGCAACAGCTTAGGTCCTTTCATATCTTTCTAAAACAAAACACTCACCTCCTTGAAATCTAAGTGGTGAACTAGTCACATTTGCATTTGATGTACGTATTCTTGGCTATGTGTGTGTGCATGCATATGTGTGCTGTGTGTAAGGATGCTGGTACATTCACTTCTCTGGTTTTGTTAAAGCATCAAAACTGCATGGAACCTCAACAATATCTTCCATCATAGAAAAAACAAAACAAGAACGGCCTGTGGCTCTGATACACAGTGAGATTCCAAATAGCTTCCCCATTAAATAGACAAATAACTGTACATAGAAACAGATATATGTATATATATGTATGATGTAACATTAATATTTAGCTGTTTGCTACAAATAGGTGGAGCAAATTACAGCATGCAGACTGCTATATTTTCAAAAAAAAGGAGGTCCAATTTTTATTATTACAAATGTGTTCTTTGAGCTACAAATAAAATTAAGAGGCTAGGTAGTGGCTAGCCCAGTGAGTAAGAACATTGGCCGTATAAGCATGAGGGCTTAGGTTCAAATCTCCAGCAAGGTGCTAGGGAGATAGATCAGTGAGTAAGAGCACTGGATGCACAAGCACCAGGACCAGAATTCAAATCCCCAGCACCTATGTAAAACATCAGGTCAGCCTGACCGGGGGTAGAGACAAGGGGATCACTGAGGCTTGCTGGCCACCAGCCTAGCTTCAGGTTCAGTGAGATCTGTCTCAAGGGATGAAGGAAGGGCGTGATGGCACAGGATCCCAGATCTAGCCTCCACATACCCATATAGGCACATACACCATGCACATGTACATACACCACACATATAAGACACATACACATATAAAAAATTAATTTTCAGAAAAAAAAGATTATGAGAGGAAATGCTGATAACAACACCCTCAGGGTGCCCAGCAATCTGGGATGCTCCCTGGGAGAGAGAGGCTGATAACAACACTCTCAGGGTGCCCAGCAACCTGGGATGCTCCCTGGGAGAGAGAGGCTATTACTTTGACTTCAGGTAACACCACCGAGACCAACAGGTGTTTATCATACTGCGAAACTTCCTGTTTCTCAAAGAAAATCTCTAACACTCATTATCAGAAATCCCCCTTTCCTTCCAGCTGCAGGAAGCAAGCTTGTTTTCCCTCAGACTCATAACTCCTTCCTGCTTTCCCTTCCACAGCCCCCATGCCTTGCGTGTTCAAACAATTGTCCTTTCTGCCTTTGAATTCTGATTTCTAGTTTTGTTCCTGATCTTCACATCTGTACGTTAATATTACACTGTCTGCTGATGTATCGTTAGGTATCTAGACAGGCACTAAGGCCATAGAGGATGGACCCCTCCCTCCTGTTTCCCTGGTAACACCTAGAAAGGGAAACTCTTCCTTACTATTTAAATTACCACATTAAAGAGTAGAAGTATCTGAGCATTGTTGGGGCCCATTAAGGGAAAGCCACTTCCTCCTGGTCAAAAGCATAGAATCTGTTTAAACTCTGGCCCTGGGTGGAGACCTGCCATTCTAAACTCACCCCATAGTAAACTATTGTCTCCTCCTTTGGAGAGTTAATCCCACCTGGCCTGTCAATTATCTGATCAGAAACTCAGCACCCCAGGAAATCTGATTCACCTGAAGCTCTGCTCAGGCCAGGGAGGACTAATTATCCCCTTAAGGAGATAATGTCCTTAATCCTCTGCCAGGCCCCTCTCCTGTGCAGTGACTATACCCCAGTACCGAAGAGCCTGCTGCCCTTTTCTCAGTCCTGATTTCCCTTTCCCTTCTTGGCATCTCTGTTTTTCTTTCTGACACTGCATTCCCGGAAGCCGCGGCTACCTCCACCACACATCCGCTTGCTGACCTCCATTGCTGAACCCGCCTGCTCTCTTGAAGGCATCACTTTCACTTCCTCTTTTCCATCTCCTTCTTCAGGCAGCTGCCAAGATTTACAGCTTGCCTACCTTGTTTTTATTTCTCCAAACTTTAATAATAAAATGGTCCTCAAGCTCCCTTCTGAGTCAGTTTTTAAATTAATTTATTGATGAGACTAAGGACCCAAAGAGGGAACCTCAATTTTCCTGGTAGGAATGAATATCAGTGTTGCCTCTTAGAATGTCTGAGATCAGAACTATACTGCACATCCCACACAGTACTTCAAATACAGTATAAACTCAGTACATACATTGCTATAATCTGGATATGTTGATCACATGTGCAAGGAAATATATACGTGAGTGTTAAAAATGGGCAACTGATGGGTATTTACAGCGAACTGCTGCTTAATTGAAGAAATCTGTAGGACTGTGGGAAAATCCTACAGATTTTACAGTATCAACAGTGAGTATATTCAAATGGTGGGACTCTAAATCTTTAGTTTTCCAAATTCTGCACAACACTATTCATCAGGGTAAAAAAAATATTTTTTTTTCTTAAGAGAAAAGGAGACCAGGAAGGGAGTTCTCTCAGAGCGGTAGCACAACAACAGGGGGTAATGCTCAACCCATCCACCTTCGATTTCACCTCTCCCACATGAACTCCACCCACTAACTGAACTAACACCCACTCTTTCTGCTAGTCTTTAAAAGGAAACTAATAGAGAACATGCATTTTTATCTATTTTCTGATCTTTGCTTCTTTAAATACAGATACAGTAGGTGAATGAGTGTGTCACTGACTGCTTAGAAGCCTGGTTATGATGCCAAATAGGACAAAATAAAAAATGCGCAGCAGACTACATTTTTAAATTCTAAGTAATGTTTCCACAGTGTTTGGAGGAGCTGAAACATTTTTAGATGGATACACCGATTGAAAGGTAAGATGAATGTGGAGACAATACCCTGCCTCGCCACTTGAGGGCGCCACTTCAGGCGTGGCCCTTGAGACAGGCAGGAGGGCGAGAAGTGCAGCTGAGCAGAAAGCATACCTTGGTCTGAAATGTGCAGAACATGTGTGTCAGAAACGGATGCTCCCAGGCCAAGGACAGAACCCTCTTCTTCACCATAGTACACTCAACGTCATCGTCCATCAAAACCACATCCTTCTTTAAGGCTTTTATTGCGAAAAATTGATTGGTTCTCTTGAACTCTGCTAGGAAGACCTAGAAAGAAAGGAAGAAGTGACTTTACTTTAGAACTTTAATTCCCAGTCATTTAAGAAGAGACAAATTAGTGTGAGGCGAGACCCACCACTAAGGCAGAAAGAGGGGAGCCTTTTTCAATTTCCCTCTGTCCCAAATAGGATGTTTCTAGAACAAGATGGAGTCTCTCACAGTTTAAGCTAACACTTAAGAGTATCATACAACCATTGTACCCTTCTCAAGTTTTCACAAAATTATGTGCAATCCTGGGGCTGGGAATGTAGGCCAGTGTTTGCCCAGTGTTCACAAACCCCTGGGTTAGAGCCTCAGCACGGCATAAATCATGCCTTTAATCTTAGTAATCAGGAGATGGAGGCAGGAGGATCAGAAGTTCAAGGCCATCCTTGGCTACGTAGTGAGTTCAGGTCCAGCCTGGGATGCACAAGACCCTGCACCAATAAACAAAATTAAACAAAAATCATAGCAGTGGTGGCCTTGAGTGGAGAGGTGAGGTATTGTCTCCACATTCATCTTAAAATAGGATTTTGGGAGGTTTTTTTTGTCTTTTTGAAGCAGGGTCTCCTTGAACTCACAGAGATCTGCCTGCCTCTGCCTCCCAAATGTTGGGACTATACAAGTGTGTGCCACCACGCCCCAGGATTTTGTTTTAGACACACACACACACACACACACACACACACACACACACACACACATATCCCTGACTCCAGGGACCTGTGTATGTAGACAACAGAAGTTCGGAGACAAACACACATTGAAGGAACACCGGAAGAGCAGAAGGTGATGGACTGAACTGAAAGCATCGTTGGAAAGGGTCACAATACTTAGCTCCTATATTTCTTTTACTCATTTTTTTAAGACAAAAATTTACTTGATATTTCTCCTTATGTATTTAAAAACATGAACTCTAGGCAGGCATGGTGGTGCAGGCCTTTAACTCCAGCACTTGGGAGGCAGAGACAGGCAGATCTCTGTGAGTTTGGGGTCAGCCTGGTCTACACAGCAAGTTCCAGGCCAACTGGGGCTACAGGGAGGCCCTGTTTCAAACAGACCCCCCCAAAAAAAGAATCTATATCACAGATTCAAACAGCACTGGGGCTTCTATGTGTCGAACTGTGCTCTGTACTTTTCATGCCCTAATTTTATAATTTAATTTTTAGGGATTTTTGGTTTGTTTTTGTTTGTTTTCGAGAGGGTGTCAGGTAGCCCAAGGTGGGTCTAAACTCCTTATGTATTCAAGGATGACCTTGAATTTCTGATCCTCTTGCCACTACTTCTCAGCACAAGGATTACAGGCATGGGCTACCATGCTGGGTTTATGCAGAGCTGAGGACTGAACCCAGGGCTTTGCTTATTATGCAAGCATGATGCCAACTGGGCTACATTCCCAGACTAGCACAGTATAATTTTAAACCTAAATATCACCTTAGCATCATAGCTACGACCTGGGTTACATGAGACCTTGTCTTAAAAAAAATATTATACATATGACTTTATGCTCGCTGACAAGGTAGAGTGAATGGAGCTTGGATGACAAGGCAGGCATATAAGTGATGCTCATAGCCCAAGAAAGTATGTAATTGGTTAGCCTGGGCTTAAAGCTAAAATGAAAACAAAGGCAGATTTTATGGTGAGAAATCATATTTTCCATAAGAAGGATAAATGTAACTTTTGCAGAATTCTCAAAAGCCCCATTTCTGCCTTGTGAGTGTATATTACCGCCCCCCCACACCAACCAGGTCCAAAGAGAAAGAGTCACCAAGCTTTCCACAGGAAAGCAGGAATGGGAAGACACCTACGGCCTCAGGCTGTCCCTTAGGATATTTGCTTAGGTTTGTATGCTTTAACTTAATGTTGTTCTTATTAACCTTGTTCAAATGTAGAAATCCACATGGGAACAAAGTGATATAACATTGTATTAACAATTAAAAGTACTCCTTCCGTAATTGCTTCTTTCAGTAAACCATCCATACATCAAGAAGCTGAGAAAGCAATTCCTGTCTATACTAACAGGTTATAATTGCACACTAATTGCTGCTAAATTATAATGAAGACTGGCTATAAAATTGCCTATTACACTTAGATTAACACCAAATGGGCCTGTTGTGGTTTGTATTGTGTTACTGAATTGAAAGTGTTCATGGATACCAGCTACAGTTTGCAGGACAGAGTAGGTTTTGTTGAAATAGTGGAGTACACTATTATTCAACCATGATAGAGCCTAGGTGCTCTTGAGTTTGTTTATTATTAAATAGACTGGGTACTCTGCTTTCAAAGTCTGGTGAGCAGGTGCTCAGTGTATTGCTGGCTTTGGATGTGCAACTCAAGGAACAGTGGTCCTCAGTTAAAAATTTCCTAGGCATTCCACCCATGACTATAAAACACCTAGAAATGCTATTAATATATTACACATCCTTAATGTCTAAAATAAACTAAAAGCCTGTATTCTGTAACATCCCTCTTTACCATCAGTTTGAAAATCTTTAGTTGTCAGTGATGGTTGATAATTTCTCTCTCTCTCTCTCTCTCTCTCTCTCTCTCTCTCTGTGTGTGTGTACACTTGTATTTGTATACACCTGTGTTTGTATGTGTATGGGTTCACGCACATGCACATGTGTTGAGTATGTGTTTGGAGGCCAGAGGTCCACCTTAGGCGTTGTTTCTCTGATCTTCATGTCTTTTTTTTAAGACAGGGTCTCTCACTTTATTTGGGACTCAGTGATTTGGTTAGTCTGGCTGGCTGGCAAGCCCAAGAGATCTGTTTGTCTCTGTCCCCGACTGCTTTTATTATAAGCTCACATCACTATGCCCAACTTTATTTTGTGGGTTCTGGGAATGGAACTCAAGTCCTTGTGTTGCAAGCACTTTACCAACTAAGCTATCTCCTCAGTCCTCATTGTTTCATTGACCTGCCTTTTGTCAGGAAGAAAACACTTTTAAAAATGTATTTATTTAGCTATTTATTTTCAGATAAGGTCTCACTACGTAGCCTTGGCTGGCCTGAACACGCATGTTCCAGGCTGACAAACTCACATATTCCACAAAGCCTGGCTCCCAGCCAGCCCTGATTATAAAATTCTTTGTTTTTTTAAAAAATATTTTCTTTATTATTTTTATTTTATGTCTATGAGTATATTGCCTGCATGTATGTGAGTGCACCTGTGTCGTGCAATGCCATGGAGATCAGAAGAGGGCTTCGGATTCCCCTGGAACTGGAGTTAAGGACGGTTTGTAGCCGCCACGTGGGTGCTGGGAATCGAACCCGGGTCCTCTGCAAGAGCAGTCAGTGCTCTTAACCACGGAGCCATCTTTCCAGCCCTATAATTTCTTTCCTAAATCACGTCTTCTTCTTTCTCTTCCCCTTTCCCCTTTCCTCCTTGGTTCCCCTCCCTTCCTCTGTCTGTGGTTCTTCTCCCTGACTGACAAAACAAGCGACATCCCCAGTGAATGACACCAGAGATAGAAGAGGGGCTGTCCCCAAGGACCCCTTCCTAGGACTCTCAGTTTATAGTCTTGGTATTCCTGAATGTGTCTTCTCCTTCCCTTCTTGATGTAGTAGGGTGAAGTCTTAATCCCTAGTACCTCAGAATGTGACCATATTTAGCGATGAGGCTTTAAATATGTAATCAAGGTTAAATGAGATCATTCCATGGGCCTTAAACCAATATGACTGTCATCCATACAAGAAAAGGAAATGAAGACGCAGGCGGGCTCAGGAAGAAAATGACAGGATGGCACCGAGAGAACACAGCACCTTAACAGCCCAGGAGAGAAGCCTGGGAAGAAACCACCTTGGCAACATCTTCATCTTTGACTTCTGGCCTTCAGGTTGCGCCAAGAATACATTTTCTATTGTTTAAGTCACTCAGCTTGCAGTATTTTGTTACCGTAGCCTAAACAATCTAACATGAGCCTGAAGATGTTTGATAGAAGGGAAATCTCATGCACAGAGAAAATGAAATAACACTGTGGGCATTGGGGAAGGAGCAATGCAGGAAAACAAAAGTAAACAAAAACAAACAACGTGTGTGACACAGGAAATGGACATTTCCATGATTCTTTGGTCCTGAAAGACATCAAGCTCATGGGCATGGGACACATGTACCCTCAAAGCAAAGTGGCTTTGGGGACAAAGATCTCCAGGAAGCAGAGGCTGCTGTTGTCCCAGAGTCCCCCAGCTCCCCGTTTAATCTTGGATCTCCTCTGCCCTCTCATGACACATTGGGAGCGCTGTCTCCACACATCCAAAGTGTATAGTCCTGAGAGTTTAGTTTCACATACTAGGGGCATTAGTTTTCAGTTCTTGGCCCAGAGAATTCTACAGTATGGTAGCCTACCTTGCCAAAACTTCCTTTCCCCAACATTTTGTGAAGGACGAAATCATCAATTTTCAGTTTCACTTGCAGAGACACTCTTTCAATGTTCACTTCCGGTACAGGAGGATGGCACATTTTATCCACCCCATCCAAAGGGGACTCCCAGGAGATCCCCTGAGGCTCTGGAAACAGAAAACCAGGTGTTAAATATGATTAGGGAGGGTCGTTGTAGTCACACAGAGCTCCTGGGTTTCCTTCTGAGTCTCACTCTGAGGTCCTGTCTACAATTCAGCTTAAGACCTCTCCAGCTATCTGTGAGCCTTGGGATATGAACTGTGTGTCTTGTTATCTAGCCAGTAAGCCTGAGAATTGGTCCAACATAAAAAGAGTGGAATCAACAAAAGGCCATGCATGCAAAAAGAATGAGAACTTTTAGTAATGCCAGGGCATGGAGAAAAAGTTAATCAAATGGGAGGAAAGAGGGATTCAGAATGGTCCGTGTGGTTCCCAGGCACTGGAACATCAATTTCCATAAATCACAATGTGCGAGCAGGTTGGTAAGGATCTGAACCATGTGATGCTTGTAGTCGTCAAGGCAAGGTGCTGCCTGTACTGACTGTCACTGAGGACCTTCTTCACTGCTTGGGAATCCTTCCGAGATCCAATTCAAATCTCTCATTTAACATTTTTGTTTTACTTGCACATATGAACCTGCAATGGTTGTAACAGTATGCACAAGACCTGTGTAAGCCTGAGCCGGACAAAATCCCAGCATGGTGTGGGGAAGGGCACGAAACCTCAGCACTAGCTGAGGAACTACCAGCAGGTGATGGCCGCTGGGAGAGGGAGAGTCGGTTTTCTTTCAGGGTGTGACACCAGGTAGGGAAGGGACCCACAATCAATACAAAAATACAATTTTTGTATTTAGGGAACAAAAATTGCACTCAGTGGGCTTAAAAATAGTGGAAATAAAGTAGGGGGGATGTGGAGGTGGGAGTGGATCTGAGTGGAGATGTGGAGGGGGTACAATATGATCAAAATACATTGTTTGAAATCCTCAAAGAATCAATGAAAACATTATCAAGATTTTTCTTGCAGTTCAGTTCTGCCAGAATTAGTATGCAAAATTGTTTTCTTGGAATCTTTCTGTAACTATTATATTTAATGTTATATCTTTTTCATGTGGGTAGTGTATACGTGTGAGTGTGGGTGCACATACATGTATTTGTGTATGCATATGGAGGCCTCAGCCATCATTCCTCAGGTGCCATCTGCCTTGTTTTTTGAGACATGATCTTTCACCAGCCTGGAACTTGTCAATGAGACTAGGTTAGCTGGCCAGGAATCCTCTTATTTACACCTCCCATGCCATGGGGCTTACAAATGCATCCACCATGCCTGTTTTTTAATTTTTTTTAAACATAGGTTCAAGGGATCAAAATCAGGTCCTTATGCTTGCAATACAATATAAGCACTTTACCAATGGAGCCATTGCCCCAGTCCATCCATAATCTTATTTCATATTCTCCCAAGGAACATATTTTGTAATGTTTGTTGAAACTGTTCAGTTTCCAGAACCATGTGGTCACATTTTCTCATGAACTACCTTCAAATAGTGGGCTGGATGAAACTTCTACCAGATCGTAAACATTCAGGGCTCAGGGTCTGACTATTCTTCTCTATCTTTAAACATCACAGAAAAGTAAGAAATCCAAGTTAGGCATATTTTGGTTTTATTTCATTTATTTATTTTTCGGTCTTTTTGAGCAGGGTCTCTCTATAGCCCCAACTGGCCTGGAACTTGCTATATAGACCACGCTGGCCTCCTCGATCTCACAGAGATTCACCTGCTTCTGCCTCCTGAGTGCTGGGATTAAAAGCGTCAGTCACCATGCCTGGCATGGCTTTGTTTTTTTAAAAAGCAGGGGCCTCAGTTCTCTGTTGGTTTTTGTCTGATTGCGTTTGCATGGGTCTTGTGCATGCTGGCACCACTGCTATATGTTCATATGAGCAGGGTCCCAGGAGCCTGTGAGACTGTTTCCTTATGGTCATGCACCTCTTCCTCCGCTCTCACAGTCTTTCTGCCCCCTCTTCCTCCGCTCTCACAATCTTTCTGCCCCCTCTTCCTCCACTCTCACAGTCTTTCTGCCCCCTCTTCTGCAATGGTCCCTGAACCCTGGGTGAGTGAAGTTTAATACAGGAGTCCTGTCCAGGGACTCACACTCTGGAGTCTCTTTTGGGCAGGCGGTCACAACTTTGGTGAGGAACTGTTGGCAGCTGATCACTGCTGGGAGGGGGAGAGTTGATCTCCTTTAAGGCAGTGACACTAGACAGGCTGAACAGGCTCCAGTGGATGAACTCACACCGAGGGCATCTGGGTACAGATGGACAATAGGCCTTACCATATGTGACAAAATTGATTTAAGTCCTGTGGGCAGGATATGGGGAAGTGCAGACAGGGAAGTGGGAACCAAATATGATTAAGATGTATTATATGAAATCCACAAAAATTCAATACTTTTTAAAAAGCGGGGGCCTCATAGTTGGTGACTGGGTGGCCTATCAGACCAGGTACATGAAAATCCCAAATTCAGAGAACACAAGTTTGATTGACCATGATGAGTAACTGACACTGATTGATAGTCAATCATCATAATACCTACCTTTTTTCCCAGGGGTCGGTAAGTAAGGTGGCCTAGCTTCATTTCTGATGGAGCTTGGGAGACCTATTTCAACTGGACCTTCTCGGAAGATGTGTTCTGGATCTCTTAAGGAGCGAGCCTAGATCACAAACAGAGGGTCAGACAACCGAACCGCACAGAGTCTGCATAGTTTCCCACCCATAGACAACATAGTCTGCTGCTGTCCTTGGGGACAAAAGGAATTCATTCCATAACAAGTAAAGGAAGAAGTTCAATGAAAAAAATATATAGGTGATACATAGGTAATGCCAAGTGCTAACGAGCATTTGTTTTTAGTGTTGGAAATTCAACTAATGATAAGATGTAAATGCAAGACAAAAGTTTCATGGACTCAGTGTTCTGGGACAATTTTGAGAATGATTCTAGTAAAAAAATCCCCCCCCAGGTTCTTTATAGCCAAAGTATAGGTATAAAGCTGGTTGCAGGCCCTCAATCGTTTCAGTGAATTTGTTTGTTTCGTACAGAGCTCACAAACATCCATAAAACTGCATGAGTTCAGTAAATAATTATCTCAAAGGCAGCAGTACAGGCACGGAGATGAAACGGGCCAGTGTTCAGATCACACTCTCTGCAACACCCCATAGGGTGGCCCAGGTGAGAGAGCGAAGGACTTGAGTGGCCTTTGCTGAGTGGACATGGGGTTGGGGAGCTCATCAACCCAGCACCTCCTTTACCTGCTGAGTGCTTTCAATCATTGCTAGCGCTTTAGCCATTAGCTTCTGGTTTATCCCACAGAGGTTGGCGACCTTTGTCTGGCATCGGTGGTGGACGTTCATGCCACATGCTGAAAGGAGGAAGGCAGACTGTGAGGAGGAGGGAAAGAAAGTCATGGTGCTAGAAAACGCCCCCTTCTTGAAGTCGTCACGGTCTTGCTGCTAGGGAAGAAAGTCTATGGTCAGTGTTGTATCTAAAGATGGCTTATGGCCCGGAGGACCGAGCTGGCACTGGCTCTGCTGATGGTGATACAAAAGGCTGGAAAAGAAGAGGGGGTATTCCCATTCCAGCCTGGAGACTTGTATTCTTTTTCTACCTGCACAGTAGGTATGGAGCTTCCCTACTCTCTGGGATGGGATGGTGCAGCCTCAGCCAGTAGAAAGGAAATGGATTGGGAGGAAGCCGTGTTGGGGAAGGGGTATGTTAAGGGAAAGGATTGGGTAGGGGAAAGAGGTCCAGAGACCATCCGCTCACTTTAGGAAGAGGCACTGATGATAAACTTCTGGACTGCCAATGATGGGCCACAGAATGAGGACAGAGTTCTGAGCCCTGGCTAGTGAAGGATAGCTAGGACAGCTGGGTGTCTTGTGAACAGAACTGAGGCATGGGGTGGGACTCTGAAATGGGTGACCAAAGAATTGTGGATCCACGAGTAAAGGAAGCTCTTTAATGGACTGCAATGCCAAGGGAGGTCATGGTAGTGCCCCCTAGAGAGACTGGGACTAGTCACTTCCTCCAGATTTGCTGAAATCACATAGCCTTCCATGTGGTCCGTAAGAAGAAAGCCATGGGCATCATACTGTGGGCTTAGATGACGACACCATCCACCAACAGCTGGGTGGAGGCCATTACCGTTTTTCAGGTCCCTAGGCACATGCATTCACAAATACTATGTGATTATAGGAAGAACAGTGGACCCCTGTACTTACTGGAGTTCTGCTTAAGTGAATTTTGAGATTATAAAGAAAACAGTATTTTTTGCACACACGAGCTAAGGCCTTAGGCATCTATGGCAGTTACAGAGGCTGGCTCAGAGAAAAGAGAACTTTCTTTCATGTAAGTTTTATATCAGTTTTAGTTTTTCCACATTAAAAAGAAAGAGAAGCGGGCCGGGCATGGTGGCGCACACCTTTAATCCCAGCACTCGGGAGGCAGAGGCAGGCGGATCTCTGTGAGTTCCAGGCTAGCCTGGTCTACATAGTGAGTTTCAGGCCAGCTGGGGCTACAGGGAGACCCTGTCTCAAAAAGAAAA